CCAGGCGTCGGTACTGATTGCATCTCTGAAAAATAATTTATTGACGCGACGTCTCTCACTTAAATATGTATATACACCGAATGTCTGTATGACTTCCATCGCTTTCGACGGAACGCTTATTCGCATATTCTCGCGCATCGCGCATCGACCGCTTTCTTTGACGACGGGAAATCAATTTTCAATCATTCGCGTTCGAGTCGCTTGACATTTAATGGGCCGCATACTCGCGGACCGATCCGACGAGAGATTAACTCATCGTCGAAAGTGCGTACATTAGCGACAAGCCGATCGCGGCTTTCCCACAATTTCACACATGCATACACACACGCACAAGAGATTTGACGATAAAACCTACGAGAATTACGCACCGCGCGAGTAATCGACGATTTATCTCATCTGTAATTCCATTCTTTTCTCTTACGGCTTAGCACGTCTGCTTAATACTTTATCACGCGTTTAATAGGCATAGATTGTATTGAGGAATATATATTTGGAGCGCGCGATTTTATCAACTGCAAATTATCGGCCGCGTATACATAAAACGATTGCGATTACGGTCAATTTCGCTATACTTTCGCGTTCATTCAGCTTCAATGTGAGCGTGTGTGTTGAGAATTCGACGAAATAATTTGCCACTTATGGAATTTATTTGAGAGGAAATAACGGAAACCGCTGTAGGCGCGAAAATTACACACTTTGTGCTCATATTTGCGAGATCATTGTTAATAACCGTGAAATGTGCAATAGCGCGGTTAAATTTTTAGCAGATATTCTTTATCACGTCAGGATGATTGTCGGAACTGAAATGCGCAAATATTTGGATAGGTAGAAAACTAAGTTCTTCTACATCTATTTTACCGGAGTACTTCATGTAACATGGATAATGGTGTTTCTTCAGTATACATTGTTATCAGCTGACTACTACTGAACTTTGTTAGAAAAATCTACGATCAAGTTAGCTAGATCAATTAACTTTGAACTTGTTACATTTAAATTTCTACAACCGGTTACTCCAAGTACTATAAATATTTATACAAATCCTTTTCGCGCTTCTCGAGTTAAGAAAAATGTCATACATTGTCACCGTCTCGCGTGCGCGCGTTTACCAACTTAATTAATCCTGAAATACGTAGATGCGAATAGCTACTACGATAGTGTTAAGATCCTTTACCTTCGTAATATAATCCGCGGAATACAATATTCTACCATTTCCCGGATTACGGTAATGGAAAATATTTATTTTCTTATACTATGCAGCGCTTCGTCTTTAATCACATCTAATATTACTCCGCGATCGTTTTCTTCATATATTTCTACCAGCAACTGTGCAGAGAAATTGTTTATGAAAAAGATTATTTTGCACGACAAAATCTGCAAAAAAGAAAAAGCGCAATAGACTTCCACAATGCTGCAATTTCTCCGTCTCGGACGATCGCGGAGTAATAGAGCGTCCGATCTGGCGTAAAGAGATACACCTTTTCAATGATGCAAACGGCGAAAAAATCGTTCAAAGCGGTCATTAGCGCGCATGTACTTACGCTGTATTACGAAGCTGTTAATAACTCTCTGCGAGAGCGCGTCTGTAAACGGGATGAGGAGCATTCGCGTCTCGCAAAACGAAAATTGATTACCTATGAAGCACTTCCGGTCCATCGTCCCGGTGCGCTTCCGCGAATACCAGTTGCAGATACGCTTATTTTTTTCAGGATGGCTTTGAGTATCGAGAGTTGGAGTTGAGTATCGTCTCGTTTAGAAATTTTTATTCGCGACAATTGTTTTTCCACGAAGGATGTCTTCCTTCCGCTTCAATAATGTTCGTTTTCAAGGATTCAAGACGCGGTCCTTCGTTCGCGTCTCTCTTTTTTTTTTTTTACACTCAGATGACACTCAGAGATATATCAAGCACAATCCACTTTTTGGAAAGTGCGACTCAAGTTTTTTGAGACTTCGCGAAGCGCTGAGGATGCACATTAAGCCGCTAATGGTGCCACTGGGTCAGTAATCAAATTTAACGATTTCGAATCGCTGAGGTTTTCGTCGCGAAACGAAAGTTCTGATTACGCGGAGAAAAATATAATGGCTTTACGTTTGATCTTGCATAACTCGCGCAGATTGAACCAATTGTTACTGATTCCCATGAATCGCGTTAATTTCGTGGAAAATTGCGAAAAGTATTTTTTTTAAATTTCGCATCCATTTACATCATTATTTTTTCTGATTAAAATAGTTCTGCAAATTTAGTTTATACATATAATTACATAAAATTTTTAAATTTTTCTTTTCTTTTCATAGCAAAAACACATATCTTTGTAGCCAATAGTGTAATAGTTAACTTAATTTTATCATAAAAATGGTGCTTTTGTGTTTTGTAATAATTGAATTTCTTATCGATATTTTTCTTAAATTAAATCGTCTCGAATCATCTTTGCTTCATCAAAGTTGTTTATAATTTGAAGTGAAAAGTTTGAGTGTTTAACAGTCGTATGAAATACTAAAATAT